GTTCTGGAGTCCCCAGCCCTGCAGGGCTTCTAAAAACATGTGGACATGGCACCTGGGGACATGGATTAGTGGCCATGGGAGCGTTGGGTTGATGGTTGGACCTGATGACCTTAGAGGTCTTCTCCAACCGTAATGATTCCATGATTCTCTGATTCTTGCTGCTTTTCTACTCACCCTGGGGTCCTGATCATGTCGAACTGTCACCTCCTCCTCAGGCAGTGGCTGCACAAAGACCTGGTTCCACTGGCCCGCGACGTTGCTGGAGGAAAAGCAAACCCAGAATCAGCCTCTCACTGCAGTGCCCCAACACAGCACACCCTGGAGGGCCACCTGAGCCAAACTGTCACCCCCACCAGCCACCACAGACTTCACAGCCACCTGGATCTGAAACTGGAGCTTTGACCAGTGACAAGCAATGGATTGAGCCAGAGGAGCTGAAGGGTGGCCCTAAGCTGACAGAACAGGTCACGGTCCTTCACTTCTACCAACATCCTCCCTGTGCTCACCAAACTCCTCTCTCAGCCTGGCCAGGAGATTTCTCTGCCCAACACTGCACACTCACAGCATTTTTCCACCCCCCAGGGGTTATCTCCCTGCTCTGGGGATGCACCAAGCCAGCCCCTTCAGCTTTATAAAGACAGGAATGATTCTCTCCCATCACCAGACTCCTCAAAACACGATCTCTCTCGGAAGAGTTATGTTTTGAAGGAGCTGTTGGTGAACTAAAGCCTTCCCTCCGACCCACTCACAGCAGGCTCTGCTTCCAGCACTCTGCTGCCCAGCTTTTTACATTTTTCACATTCCTGCAGCTGAGCTGTAGCTTTATTTTAAAGCAGAGTCAAAAAAAAAGAATAAAATGCACATAACGTGCAGGAAGACACAGTGGCGCACATGACTGCAAGAGGAGGAACTGGCAGGGCTGCACCTCCACCAAACGGGGCAGGAGAAGAGCTGAGGAGCTCAACCAGGGCTTTGAAAGTGGAGCTGTCAAGGCTAGGAACTCACTGCTCAAAGTTGATGTACTTCACAATGGTTTGGTTCTCCTCGTTGTGCCACAGCGCCCAGATCTCAGCCGAGGTTAAGGCAAAGTCGACGAGTGTCTCCTAGGAGAGAGAGAGAACAAATTTACTCCCTTACCATCCTTCCTTTGACCAGAAGAATCCTTTTCTCCACTCAAACCTCGAGCCCAGCCCAGAGCAAAGCCCCCCTGACCCACCAGTGCCCCCAGGGGGGGCTGGGCCCCACGCTCACCTGGGAGGAAAAGAGGGAGGAGATGTGGTCGAGGCTGTAGCGGTTGCTCTCAGTGCTCACCAGCTGGAAGACACAGAACTACAAAACCACCTCCTAAGT